AAGGTTATTATACAACTTCTGCGTACTTGGATGACAAAAATCCGTGGTAGTAGCCCGTTTAGCTCATGGAGGTAGTCTCGATCTCCGATGTTTCAAATAAAAAAAAATATTGTGAATGTTATTTACAAAGAGCAACCCCTAGAGTTTCTTCTCAGGGGAATCTGCCTTACGAATAAGCGGTAGAGTTTAACCATTGTGACGATTTCAAGTATAATAATGCTTACCTATGAAATAAAGATTATTTTGAATTTGACCACACCACAACCTCTTGTTGTTGGCTCCATCGTTTTCATTCAGTAACAATAAAACAGTAACATTAAAGGGAAAAAATATTGGAAAAGTATCCGGGAAAATATGACTCTTTTTAAAAATGGACATTTTTCCATGACCCAACACTAGACATAATTAAAAATCATATTTTTCAGAAAAATTAATATTTTTCCGGAAATTTTCCCTTTAATTTTCCACATTTGACGTTGACACCTGTCCAAAGTAAAAGTTATTAACCGAAAACGATGGAGCCAACAAGAGGTGGTGGTGGTATCATTGTTGGGGGTTTTTATTGCTCTTGTGAAATTATTTCAAATCTTGTTTTTCTTTTAGGTGGCTTTTCGCTACACAAGTTTATTTTATAATTCACGCTAAATAAAACTTCAAAAGATATTTTTAAACGTAGAACATACCAAGGGTCGTATTTCAGAACTCTACTCAATACTGAAATCAGGACTTGAGTATGATCTGAACAATACAATATATTTTCCCAATTTTTCAGCCCGGATACCACTGATGGATGTGGAGGGATATCAGTGACCATTGATATCCGCAAAGCCATAATACAAAAAAAAAACAGTTGTCATGTCATCAGCTGTCACTGTCATACCGCGATTTTGGGTTGATTTTATATATTATTGCTTATTAACACATTTTATACAATAATAATTGGATTTACCGCAACTTATGATAATACAATAAGCGGGTTACATGATGGGTAATGATACTTCACAGTTGAATGGTCTGGAGATCGAGGAAAAGGCTATTGATGTTACAGATTTTTGGTCTCATTATCAAGCCACTATTAAGGACAGCTGCAGGTATTTCAGTTTGAAATGTGATGGTTCAGTGTCAGTATTTAAAGGACAAGCAGCATTAGGCCCTCTGTGGGCAGTATCGTCGCCTCTGGAGAAGTTTTCAAATGTGAGTTCTACTACGCGAGAATGCACTTATTTTGCTTTCTAAGTTACGTTACTTTGTATTGAAATTTTTTTTCTCTACTTACAGAATCTACTAAAATATCGTCATCCATGTATAATCCGTTATATAACTGCGTGGCAACAGAAATCCACATATCATTTGGCTACAGAATTTGTACAACCCCTTTCATATGTATTGAGCTCACAAACACCATTACAGATTTGTATTGGGCTTAACAACATTTTAAGAGCATTGGTATTTCTTCATGAACAGGTTAGTTCAGTTCAATTTACATACCAATCTCATTGTCCTTTATTTTTGAATAATCAAGTTTGTTATTCTAGGCTGGAATGTCCCATAATAATGTGAGTATATCAGCAATTTATGTGACTGGAGATGGACAGTGGAAGCTTGGTGGACTTCAATATTTATGCTTGTTTAGTGAATTGATACCTGGTTATTTAAAACAGGCGAGAATACATAGGTAAGGACAATTTCAGTATAATTCTTATAAGCACTTAACTAAATTTTCTTTTATAAGGTTAATTAGCTACAGATATGTATTTGCAGGTATGACAAAGCTGTAGATCCAAATGAAGATTCTTATGAGATTACAACAAAGGTAGATCAATATGCATTTGCTGCTTTAGTTGAAGATGTATTCAAAGGACGCAATGATGGTAAGGCCTATCATTAATCAAGTGTAGGAAGGCTAGCTTAGGATGAATTAAAGTGACTGTAACCTGTTCCTGGTTTTTTCAGAAGAAGTACCACATCTAAAGGAATTTAAGAAGTATTGCAGAGATTGTCTGCAACACAATGAACCTGATAGAAGACCTGATTTGGCAGAAGTCCTTCAGCATAGTTTCTTTAATCATGAATTTATATCAATATATAAATTCCTGAACTTCTTACCTCTAAAGAGTGATGAAGAAAAAAGTGAATTTTTCTCTAACATTTTGGATAGCTTGAAATGTTATGATGAAGAGACTGTAGCAAAACAACTTGGAGGATTATTGCTTTCCAGACTAACCATGTTAGACCCAACTGCTAGAAAGGATGTTATACCTTATATACTTAAACCAAAAAATGGTAATTATTTATGTGTGGGCTTGTATAATTTTCATTAAAATATAAGATTAATTTAACATAATAGCAAATTTATTTACAGAGAGATTACAGAACACAGAACAATTAGGATTTTTCAGTCTAAGTGTATACAAAGAACATGTGAAGTCTAGAATTATGCAACTGTTTGCAGTAAGAGACAATCAGATAAGAATGCTTTTGTTGACACACTTTGCAACATTCGTACATGTGTTTTCACATGAAGAACTTTCACTGCATATATTACCTGAGGTATGCAAGAATTAATGGATTGAGAATTCCCAAATTTTGTTTCAATAATTGCAATGGCAATATTTTTGTATACTTTGTATATTTTTCTTTCAATAGATGTTATAGATTCATACTGCTTTTTTTTATTACAGCTACTTTTGGGCATTAAAGATATAGATGATAACCTAGTTGCTGCAACTCTGATATGTTTGAGTGAACTAGTGCCAATCCTAGGAGCTGATACTGTTATAGGTGGTAAGAGGTCAAAGCTATTTACTGATGGGAGACCTAATTCAAAAACAAATTTAACTACAGGAAAACCACAAGATGATCTACTATTTTTATCAAAAAAATCCTTAAGAGATTACCACTGTTCAGAAGATGTTTATGAAAACAGTAGCATAAATACATCTGAATATGAGAAAACTATAGTATTAAATGAGAGACCTTCACCTGTAGGAGGGGAATCAGTAGACGAAGAAGTTGTCTTAATGAAATGTAACAAAAACAATCTAGCAGACAGTGAAGACGACTGGAGTGACTGGGACAACACAAATAGACAATTAACAATAGCATCAAATAATACAGAAACCCATCTTGATAAAGAAGAAAGTGCAAATAGTAAGGAGAGTTCAATTAGCACTACAACATACATATTGGACACTGCCTCGAGAACAACAATATTACAAAAAGCTGCATTGGAAGCAAAGAAAAACATAGTAGATATTTCCGAGCTGGATATTAAAAATCAAAAACCAGAAAATAAGAGAACCAGGGAAGAGATTGATTTTTTTGCTGATATGATGCCCGTGATAGAGAAGCCAACAGTTGTGAATATTGCCCATAGGGATATTTCACAAGATTTTAGTAGTAAATTGAATTTTATTCCTGATCAAGAATTAGATGAAAATGAGGGCTGGGGAGAAAATTGGAATGAGTAGAAGTACAGTTTGCCTGGTAAATTAAAATATTGTATTAATTTAAAGTTTATTTTCGCGCAAAAGTCGCTAAAAGCTAGGATTTCTTTAACAGATTGCAAGTTGAAACTTGTATGTCAAAATTAGCTCAGCTTGCTGGTCAATAACTGGAATGAAAAGGAATTATAGTGTATTAACTACTATTTTGCAAGCATACTATTACATGTTTATAATTATCGACTATATACCTACAGGTGAATCCAGGAAATTACATACTAATCTGTGTCAAAATGAAGAAGACTAACTTTACGGCGTGGCGTGACCACGTGGAAGTATTGGAACATTCCCCAATGGCAATTAATATTACAACTAATAAATATTCATGACTGTGCACTAAGAGCTCCCTCATAGAAGTTAATTTTATACATATTTTACAATGTTGTTTTATTTATTATATTCTATTCATGTACATAGTTGTTTTTATCTTGTTATATATTATTTTATATAGTAATTGTTTTATTGTGTGAATTATTATGAATTATATATAGCTACAAACATTACAAACAATATAATGAAGTATGTTTAAAGATATTTAAACTTATTTCAAGGTGATCATTAAGTGTGTAAATAATTTAATCCTTATAGAATGTAACTTTAATGAGTCATTATATAATACAGGGTATATTGGTGGTACCCAAATGATCACCTTGAATAACATAGTATTTAATAATCTTTTCCTATAGCTACTATACTTAGGATAAAATTTACCCTGTATAGGTAAAGAAAACACTCTTTTTTTGGTTTGTGAACCTATGACTGTTTCTTGTTTTAAAAAAATTGTAACATTTCATGTATGTACTACCTATCATATTATTGCCATTTTTTAAATTAGAATTACCATTTTGATAATATAGAAGGAATTTCTTATTTGGAAATCTTATTTATTTATATCACACAAAATTTACAAAAGTTAGCGAAAACTTAGTGCCTGTGACAAGTTTATCTAAAACAATGTGCAATAAAGCAATATTATTTTAAGAAATGTGTAATATCTATTCCTATGTTTCATGGGACTTAGTAATTATAAATAGTTGTTTGATGATTAAATTATCAGTGGAAAATAAGTTGCCACAAGCACTTAAGTCCTACTGGTTTAACTAGCCTGGTGCTGATACATGCACAAACTCTCACAACCTCACAAATGAAGACACTTAATTGGCTAACCTTTACAAACACAGCCCAATTTCAATATATAGGCCCAATACTAATTTGAATGCAATTCCTAGTGAGATACTCAAACTTTTAGTTAATGAGTTCCCATGGACATCTTCATTTTTCCTTAAGTAATTGAGCTCTTACTATGCGCATATGCATTAATATTAGTACAGGGTCTTAATATTCTCCGACGGCGTGGTCCGCTGCCCGAAGCGATACCCCCGCGTGGCGCTATGCATGAACTCGTTTTGCCAAATTCACTAGCATGCCGCTTTGTGACGTTAGTACGACCTACGCCTTGCAAACACTGTTGTGTTTCCAACATTTAAAGTAGGTTCCTTTATATATTAAAATTTACAGAAGAACCTACTTTACTATTATTTATTATATGTATATTAAAATTTGTTTCTACGATTAAACTTAATTTTATATCAAATTGTAATTAATTTACAAATTTATATTATTTTGGAATCATATATAGGTACAATATTTGCCTCTTAGTAATTACGGGTGCGCCAAAATAAGGAGCGAGCTATACACGGCAGCGGGAACCAACGACGAGAAATCGATGCAGGCAGCAGAAGTCCGTAGACATTAGTAGTTCCTATTGAAACTTTTTTTCATCTTTTAATAACAATTCAACCATGGCAAAAGATGACTGGAACAATTAATGAGAAACTTATATTAATTAATCTAAAATGATCCTTAACTGTAAACAATAGTAATGACTTTCATTGGACTAATGTGCATAATTTGAACAATTAAAATTTGATACTGATTTACAATTAACAAATAACCGTTTTTGGTAACAACAGACTAGAAATTTCATTTTCAAATCCTTTAAACTTAAATTACAGGAATTTTGAAAATTGATATTTATAAAACAAAACTAACATTATTTTAACTATTATGAGTATCAATTTTTTTGCACTATAGGCTAGATTCAGTTGATGCATGTAGAAAGTTAAAAAGCAATTTTTCTCTGCATGACTAGATTTTTTGAGCTTTCATTGAACACTTCGATCATTTGTTGTCGCGTCATGTCAGAGAGTGTTTCCAGGTCATGTCTAGTCATACCTTTGGTAGATATGGGAGGTAGAGTAGTGATAACAACTTTTCCTGTAAAGTAAAAAATTTTTTTTTATCAATCTACTATGCATTTTGGACATACTCTGCATATTTTTATAACACACAACACTCATAGCCACGCACTATAGGGAAACCCTGTATCGCGGGTGCCAAGGGCACACATAGACAAACACAAATTACACCCAAACTCAGGAGTAATAAATGTAGGCAATTTAAATATTTCTCCCGGCCCGGGAATCGAACTAGCCTCCTCTCCTCCACGTGGCAGTCCAGCATGGTAACCCTTCGGCCCTGGAGGCAGTTAAAAAATCTACTCAAGTATTATACCGATGGAATACATTGACGCAAATAATTGTTTCTTTTTTTAATTTGGTGAAATTACAGGCACATGGACTTGTCAAGTTATGTCTCATCTCAGGGTGATTGGCGCCGTGGCAATGCCCCTCAGATCTTAGGGATTTCAAGCTCTGCGTGGCACTGCAACTGATATGGACTGGCGTGTTGTTTACCACCAGGCGCAAGACTTGTTCATCCTGTCACTTGGTAGCATAAAAAAAAAATGTACCATACTATACCTGGTTCAAATGTTTTGGATTCATTGTCTAGGAAGTAGTACTGACTAAATACAACTGGCATTATAGGAATTTGTGAGTCAATGGCTAAATAAAATGCTCCTTTCTTAAAAGGCTGTATACTGCCTTTGTTGAATCGTGTTCCTTCTGGAAATATCCATAGCTTTGTCTGAAATAATGGCAAGAAATAGATTTTTAAAATTTGTCATAAAATAAAACTTTCTAAAAATGAGTTAAGAATTTTACCTTATCTGCCTTTACTCTTTCTGTAGCCTCTTTCATAAGTTGCCGAGCTCGATCTGTTCTTAGGCGATCTATAAATACCAGTCCAGAGAGCCAAGCTCCGAAACCGAAGGCACCAGTGAACATCAACGGCCTCTTTGCCACCACCGTGCAGCGCTTCATACGAGGCCACATCTCAAACATGCCTAAACAATTTTTTAGATAAATAAAACATGCTGTAAGTACACTTTTGTTTTCTACTAAATTTTTGCCTGCTATGAACTAAGCTTGGCGTACCTAGAATATCTAAAGAACTTTGGTGATTGGATATCACAATATAACACTCGTCATTATCCCAGTGCTCCATTCCTCGCATTTCCCATTCTATACCAACTATGTACGAAGCATAACGGCAAAATCTGGAAGCAACGCTGTGAACAAAACATATACAGCATTATCAGAGCCCTACTGCAAGATTAATGGTTGAATTAAAAATAGTGACCGCTACATAAAAATAATCAATAACTTACACTAGGTTCGTAACATCGCGCGGATATAATAGCACCACAGGCAGTAAAATAGTGCACATAATCAAAACATACGAGTAATAAAGAAAAAACTTTAAATAATATCGAAAAACATTGCTTTTTTCGTACAAAAAGGGCAAAGTAAATATAAACCCCGCCAAAAATAATTCAGGATATGAATAAGAGGAAGCCATAACGAAGGCCTGCACTGAGGTGTTGCCATTACCAGCTACCCGTATTTTTGACGTCGGTTGCTTTAGTAGTGATGTCAGTTACTCACAGTCACAACTTTTAATCACAGTGACATACCATTTGTGGGCAACAATGTATTCATACATTGCGAAAAAATGTACTAAATACTTCACTTATATTGACCGAATTCATTTATTCTCGTACATGTTTTAAGATCTGAACGAATATGTGTGTGAGAAAGGTAAGTAAGTTCCGACACATTTTAAAATTAAATAAAAATATATCAATTACATCATGGTTGATAGATTTAATTACGATTGCAGTTTGAAGTAACTCGCATTTACGCCATTTATCTTTTGTTATCAATCATTGTTTACACACTGTAGTCTCGACCGGTACCAACAAAAATTACATACCACAGACATTGATTTGGCTTCGTTAAAATTTCAAATATCAAGTTTATTTACTCCTACTAATGTGTAAGATTTGAGACCCGCTTCTAAATCGTGAATTGTGACTTAGATGCACTTATAACTAATTTTACGATAAACATTATTACAATGTTTTTTGCTTGAGATTGAAGCGGATTCTCAGCAATTATTGCTACAAAATCGTTATTTTAAAGCAAAAACAGTTAAATTAAATTAAAGTAAATTTTGGTATATAGGTACACCCATGGAATTAATAAGTACTTCGTACAACTGGAAGGCTTACTGTGTATTGAAGCGTGCGCCGAGCGAGATGTCATAAATCTTGGTCCGTCTCTTTCTGACTAACAAACAGAGATGACGCCATATTATTTTAGTGTTGCCTAATGTAAAACAAATAAAACTTTCCAATAATATTTAAATATCGTGAAATAATATAAAGACTTTGATTTATTTGCGACCTATTGCATTCATAGTTGGTATGGTATTATTTACAAACATCTTATAATATTCATGGACAAAATGACGTATTGTTTTTATGCCAATTTTTTTTTATAGTCAACTACCGTATTGTATCAAATATCTCACATGGCAATTGTGCGAAAGGGACACACCAAGAAAGAAGATGTCTCACTTGAGCTCAGATCTCTAAGGAGATATTGGTTATTTAAAAAGTATTTTATAGCTATTCATTTAACGTTCATTTTGATATGTCAAAATAATTGCAGTGAGCTTTCCAGTTGTACGAAGTACTTATTAATTCCATGGGTACACCTTAATAACACAGTCACGACGGAGCCATAGACACAAAAGTTGAATAACACAGTCGAATCAAGTTGTTACTACGTACGTTACGTTACTTTACGATATAGGGTATTATTTTATTATTATCTATGGGTATAGGACACTATTTTAAAAAGTAGACTCCTTTTTCCGGTGGTGTCCGTCTGTGGATACCGGAGTCGTAAACAATTTTAGCTTTTATCGAAATATGGTGAGCTATTTTACTCAAAATATGTATAAAAGTGCATAGCTTGTTTCTTAATATGATTTTATGTTGTGTCCTTGCGGTGGATTATTTTACGATGAGTGAAGTAATCATGGATGTTTTTGTGAGACGATGTTGCATCAAGGCAACCTTACCTATGTGTGTAGTTTGTAATCGAGACACTTAATCATTGTGTCAGCGCGTTTCGATTTATTCAAGATATATCACCAAACACAGGAAATCGAACTTACTAGTAAATTTATGTATTACACTTATAACCTAGTTTCACCAAAACCTAATCTTTCATGATGAAATGTCGACACATGCGCGTCATATGAAGCTGCAGGAGAGATGAAGTGGATGTGCAGTGCCATGTTCTATGTGCTTTGTTATATTCCTCCTTGTTTTCGACTGTAGCGTTCCTGATTTTAATGTGTCTCTGAAGTCGTTCATCTTAAATGTAGATATATTGCATATTGAATATATCTAATTATGACTCTGGTTACAGGGTTTCGTGAAAGTCGTGAAGAACAAGCAGTACTTCAAGAGGTACCAAGTGAAATTCAAGAGGCGTCGTGAGGGAAAGACTGACTACTATGCCCGGAAGCGGCTGACTGTCCAGGTACATACTATGTTATTCCTATGCTAAGATATTACAAATTGTTGTTAGGTTGTGGTTATTCTAAATATTAATGTTGTAATATTCAGGACAAGAACAAATACAATACACCCAAGTATAGGCTCATAGTCCGTCTGTCGAACAAGGATGTGACTTGCCAGGTTGCATATTCTCGCATTGAGGGAGACCACATTGTGTGCGCTGCCTACTCACATGAGCTGCCACGCTATGGCATCAAGGTACTTTTTATTATTATCATTTTGGTTTGTTACTTAGTTAGTTCTTCCACTTATGTAGAGTTTTTTCATTGTTGTCTCGCTTTTATTCCACATATGCTATAAGTACAATGGGAAAGAACATTTTTGAAGTAATAATGCTTAGATATGTCACAAAACTGTATTTTATAGGTTTTACAGGAGGAATTTTAACTGGATAACATAAAGGGAATAAGAAGCATAAACTCTACTGTTATTGCGTAACAAGGTTTAAGACTCATAATAAGGATAATAATTTATATTACTTTTTAATTAACTTGCACTAACTTTTTTATGATTATTATCAGTTTAAAAAGAATCTTATAAACCTACTGATGCTGTTTTCAGATGAACACAATAGAAATAATCATTTATTCTGCTGTTGAATATTACATATTCCTTATTGTGAACTATGATGATCTAGAACGGGCGGTCTGAAGAGACGTACAAACTCACTTACTGTGTTGTTATGCGTTCAATACTGAGTCCAAAGAATTTTCTTTTACATTGTTCCCAAAGTTTCAAAATATTTAACTGAATCATTGTTTGTAGGTGGGTCTCACAAACTATGCAGCAGCATATTGCACAGGACTGCTGTTGGCTCGACGGTTGCTGCAGAGACTGGGATTGGATAATCTGTACCAAGGCTGCACTGATGTCAATGGAGATGAGTACAATGTAGAGCCTGTGGACAATGGCCCAGGTGCATTCAGGTATAATATCCAATACTCAATTGCTTATTGCATTTATTTGGTCCCACAAACACAAAGATATTACATAATTATGATGTGTCATATGGGACTCTTTTTAGGCATTGCAATTGGGTATTTGACAAGTACCAAAAATTTAATGCTTTTCATGAGCATTATAAAAATTACATAATAGATGGTGAAATGTTAAAATAGCAGTGAAATGTATTGAAAAAATGTGAAGTGAAATGTATTCACATTAGTGTGAATTTTATTTTATGTTTTTAATTTATATTCAGAGTTTGTGATGTAAAATCATAACATAACATCTGTAATGACCTTAACAAGCGACATACTAATGATTGTGCAGATGTGAAAATAGTATTAAATATTATATATAAATAATTATAATATAATATTTAATACTATGACATTTAAATATTATATATAAATATTAAAGATTGAATTTGATTTTGAAGAATTGAATTTGAGGCAAATATCCCCCTGGCAGCGGGCTCACTTAATACTTATCTATATCTTATATTAATTAAAATATTTGTTGAAATCATTAACATTTAAAAAAAATTTAATGTTATCCATATACATTTTTGCTCCAGAGTTACATATATTATAAAATTTTATTATGTTAAGCTGTCTGACTCAGACAGAAGGGTTATTTCTTTTTATAGATGTGTTATGACGCATTGACCATTTTTAACAGCAGGCTGACCATGATCAGTGGAAGACAGATTTGATATTCCATTTCTTCGACTCAGTGTTGCCTTGAAGCCATTGTCGTAGTGTTGTATTAAGTTAGGAAGGTACCTACTACCTATTTCCAAATAGGAAATGTTTCTCTGCAATAATAAATTTTAACTTTACAGATGTTACCTGGATGTTGGTCTAGCACGCACCACCACCGGCGCCCGTGTCTTCGGTGCCATGAAAGGCGCAGTCGATGGGGGTCTCAATGTACCACACTCGCTTAAAAGATTCCCTGGTTATGATGCAGAAGCGAAGAAATTCAATGCTGAAGTTCACAGGTATGGCACATTCCTGTTAAATTACAGCTCCATTCATCCTCTGAATAATAGAAGTATCTATTAATCGGACAGCCATAAAGGAGCTAAATCAACAGCAAAGTTTTTGGTTGTCAAAAAAAACGTATAATAATTTTCTTGAACCAATTTTGCACACATAAATGTCAAAAGTATATTTTTTAATGTTTATTTTTTTCTTTTGTTAAATTAAATATTTTTTAGGGCACATATCTTTGGTCAACATGTAGCAGAGTACATGCGCAACCTTGAACAGGAAGATGAAGATTCATTCAAGAGGCAGTTTGGCAAATACATCGAATTAGGTGTAAATGCTGATGCTGTAAGTGTATTGTTCTGTCCTTATATTTTTTGCCATAATTACGACGTCCGGCCAAATTACTGTTCATACTTTATTTATGTGCAGTGTCGAAAACGGACAAAATTGCTTGGCAATGTTTGCAATTAAACTAAGATTTAGATAATTTTTTTAGTTTCTCAATGTTGCCTACAATACCTGCAATTTTATCAATTTGAAGTGCCGAAAAGAACAAAAACATCAGGACAAGCTTCATTAACAGACCATTTTTGTAACAGATCGAAAACATCTACAAAAAGGCCCATGAGGCTATTCGTGCAGATCCATCGCACAAGAAGAAAGAGTCTAAGAAGGATCCAGCAAAGCAAAAGCGCTATAACAAGCGCAAGCTCACCTTGGCTGAGAGGAAGAACAGGATCAAGCAGAAGAAGGCGTCTTATGTCAAAAGGCTCCAAGCTCAGGCTGAAGCTTGAAATGACTTACAACAATAAATACTGTTGGACCTATTTTGTATCTTTCATTAATACCTAACCAATTATTAACTTTTCTAACTGAAGGCTCTGTTCACAAATGTGCGCAGGGTGGCGAGAATTGGCAATGTGTTATGGCAACAATGGCATAACCATGACTCTTGTTGTGCGGTTACCTCAACACATTTGCCTGCCGTTGCAGTGAGGAAACCATTCACACCTAAACAATACTTTCTGGCGACATTTTTATATGGCAATTGTTTGAATGAACAGGGCCTAACAACTATGTGCTATTACTACAACCTATTATTACTATAAACTTTCTTTAGAGGATACTCACTCGATGCACACACGCCCTCTAGATCACGATTACAAACTTCATCCACAGTCTGATTTCACACACTGCTGGGTATAGGCCTCCCGAAGTTTGCCATGTGCCACGATGCAGTGCTAGCCGCATCCGTTGGCGCCTGACGACGTTTTGTTCCACCTGTCATCACATTGTCTTGCTTTGATGTCCCGCCCAACCCCATTTGAATTCCATGATCAGAGTTCCAGCATCCTGGACTTGCGTCAGTCGCCGGATCTCAACGTTTGCAACTCTGTCTACAAGGCTGAACCAGAACGCCATGCTTGATGGCCCTCTGTGCAACTCTCAACCTGTAAAGGCTCCTGTGTGAGCGTCTATGTGTCGGCACCATACGTCATGGTGTTTACAATACATTGATTAAATAAGGGGTCTTCTGTGAAAACTTGTCTGATTTAAGGATGTCATCTAACTTGCCAAACGCAGCCCATCCCAGCTGGATTCTTTTTGAGATCTTTTTAGGCTGATGCTCTTTGCCAAAGGATAGAACATGTGCGAGATAGACATACTGATCGACTCTCTCCAGCCTCTTTTCCCGTTTCCTCGTTTACCGTGACAATGGTATTTGGGAAGACTGGAGAGATTCGCCATAACATCGTGTTGAACATAGTCATCCTCAGGCCAACTCTCAAAGAAGCATCATACAGTTGTTCCAGCATTCTTTGGAGATCGTCGAAACTTTCTACAAATAGTACGAGATCATCTACAGATCTTAGGTAAGACAAATGGACACCATTGGTGTTAATGCCGTAGCTATCCCTTTTAAGGGATCCCTGCAAAGTGGCTGAACCGCAAAGGCCCCGGAGCACATCCACGTAACGACACTGTTACGATTACCAACCGAAACAAATTTCAATCTTTTGTAAGTAAAGGATTCGCAAGTCACCCAAAACCCAAACGGCGGAGTCCGCTGTGCGAAGCGGTATTCGTGAAACAACGGTACGCACGAATCTTCCGAAAGTATTCGACAATAATTCTATTCTATTCTATTCTATTCGGACGGTTCTAGCAATGGCGTAGTGTGGCTGGTGCAGAGGGGGCCATGGCCACGGGTGGCACAGCAATGGGGGCGGCTGTAGGCACATAAAAGCACAATCGAGTCTTATTTTCTGAAGGTGACTGCAGTTAGTTGGCCTTGACTGCGCCATCGGATGAAAGGGCGAGCTGAAGGTTTCTAACCAATTAAAAATAAACTAAAACTAAGTGGGCTCTGGGCGCTACTCTCCAGTAGCCCCCCAATTTCGCCAGAAGAGCGTGCTACGGAAGAGGATCTACGCGAGTGTGCTGAAATGAGGGGCTCTACGAGCTCGCTGGCGACGACAATTATTTCGAGACGTAGTTGGCAGCAGCCGCCACAAAGGGATTGGAATGGGGAGGAGCAGAGTCGAAGTCTGCTTTCGATTGCATGTATCATGAATTGAGCTATTGTGGGGAGCCATAAGTCGGTCCGACACGTTGCGCATGAATCTATTTTAAATTGCCTGCACGCGGTGGATGAGGGCGGGTTTCGCCTATGTGAATATGACGCTAGCGTAAGTCCATGATTGAAGCCGAGCCAGCCCGAACGAACTATTTTTGTAATTGTAATAGAGGGGTATTAAATATAAGGTTGGCCTCGGGTGGCAGAAATCGACGTTACGTCACTGGGTTCTAGTAACCTAACACTACATTTGGCATGTTACAAGAGTGTTTTACAGTCTACCCACTGCGGCATTATTCTTTGATTTTGGGTACCACTGCACGTTGCTTAAATCCGAATGACTTATTTAGAAAATTAGTCATTCATTCGATTTTAGACATTCATATAAAATTGCTAGGTATCCCTCTATGAGCGGATTACCAAATTCTCAACTCAATCACACAATAATCTGTCTAAGGAAATCTAAGACTGTTCCAATCGTTCCTAGTGAGATCACTCAAGACTTTGTATTCGTAGTTATTATAACTCGTAACTTTACGTAAGGATAAGATAATTGTTTATAGCACTTTGAACATTGTTTTTTGTGTTTATTCCCACTAGTTCTGTTGACAGGACAACTGCTACTTTTCTTCCCATTTATCCTGTTAACAATAAATGGGATTTACGATTCCCAGTAGTTCTGTCCGATTATTCCCACTATTCTGTTATACCGCTCTGTTGATAGAAGTACAGGTATATTTTTCCCATTTGTTCTATGGTACAACTCTAGGCTGAAAACTCGTACACAGAACAAGTGGGAGAGACAATTCTCAGTAGTTCTGTGAAGAAAACTCTATTTATCAACAGAACAAATGGGAAGAAAAGTACCAGTTGTTCTGCCAAGAAAACTAGTGGGAGAGAAAAATCTCAGTAGTTATGTGAAGAAAACTATTTATTAACAGAACAAATGGGGGGAAAAAAGTACCAGTAGTTCTGTCAACAGAACTAGTGGGAATAAACGGTTTTTTGGTTCTATGTACATAGAAGAATGGCTGAAAATATTTCCAACGTTGACAGTGGTCTCACTACTTGTCAACTCTGTTCCTGTCTGGAAGGAGAAGGAAAGCTAGTAGAGTTGAAAAGGTTGTAAACCGCCTATGGGAAGCAATAAAATAGATTACTCGGTCACATAAATGTGTTGTCAATTTTATTATATTTTATTTATAGTTATTTTTAATTACGATAACTGTGAAAGAAGTGGCTGCAACAAAAAAAATGGTATAAAAACAGGTACAATATTAAAAAACATTCCCTACTTAAATACTATAAATGTGAGACAGTAGACTTGCCCTGAAAGGGCAGTATTTTAGAAAGAAAGAAAGAAAGAAAGCCATTTATTGCACAATCACAAACACGCATATAAACAAAAAACAAAAATAATAATAAAAACAAAAGGACATTGAGGAACAATAATAATACAAAATAATACAAAATTCATCGTCATGCGTGTCGCGACTAGTGCAAACGGGACTTGCTCA